GTACACTATAGAATGTACTGGGGCTTTTTTTCACATCTCCAAACCCTTGGAAGTTATAAGACAAGTGTTATAATGAAGACAGAGATAAGCTTCAGTTGTTGTCAGGAGGTTGGTCTTAGAAATGAAATCAAACCAGGAAACCATGTAATCTTCTTTAAGAGGTGCCCGATTCTGCATAGAGGATGACATGCCAATATGTTAGAAGTCCATAAAATAGATCAGAGTTCCATATTAGTAATTGTGCTCAACTCCTTTAATGTTCTAAATCAATTTCCTTAACTTGCAACAGCTGCCTGTTTTGTTTCTCTTTTTATGTTTATTCAGACAGTGAATAGAAAAAGTAGAAAAATAATGAAATATACTCTCAGACACTCCAATGGCAATGTACAAGACTACTAGCTGGCAGATTTTTAGCTTTTTCAAATTAACAAATCCTATAGTATTTAATGGAGGATACACCTGACCTGGGCATTTCAAACCCAGGTAATTCTAGAATGAGACAGACAACAGGAATAAAAATCATACACGTGTTTTATCTACAGCAAAGAAACTGGCTATCGTAGTATGCCCAATGAACTGAGGTCAAAATTAAAAGCAAGACTCAATAATGCATGGCTTAAACTCTGCTTCATTTGAAAGCTTCCTTGGATTGAAGCTACCCGTGTTTGGAAATGTTGGGAACTGCCCTGTTTACACAACTCTTGCAGTATTAGAATAGAAAGCAATCATTCCATGCTCTATGACAACTCTGGTTATGATCATAGCCCAACAGATCACAATAATTGAGGAATACCATCATTGCTAAATAAATTCCATCTAAATTTTATGTTCTGCTAAGCACACAGTTTGAACTATTTTGTGCCTACTTGGCCTGTCTTTCCACTTGCGGGACAGACACCTCACTCGTATGTCTGGTATTAACACAAACGATAAAATACTGTAATTAAGGTTATATGTTCTCTAACCATGAAGGTCTCATTAAAGCAACTGGATAGTTCATGCCTTGTACTTGTTACATTTAAATGGAATTTCTGTTTTCTTCATCGTTAGTTTCCCCCCCCTTGCTCTATAAAGCCATAGACAGTTGTTTCTCAATGTGTGCAGCACAGACAGGACAGAATATCCTAACCACTGGTCTTTTCCTTGGGAGTTAATCTGAAAGGGGTGGTCACGAAACACCTCTGGGAACAGTCTGGGTTCTCATTCCTGGGCTGGGGCCCAAGTGTCTATGGCTTTTAAGCTTTGCACTGTGGTCCTTCTGCGAGGTGCAAAGAGCACCTCTCCTTTATCTGCAGAGACCCTGCTGCCATGAAGGCACTCTGGTTGTGCCTGGGGGATGACACCTGGAAGGTGGAAGGCAAAGGCTGCTCATCATTCCTAGTACCACTGTGAAGCAATCTGAACTGAGCCAAAACCTGAGGCAGAATTTGGGCCTCATTCGTGTGTTTTTTCTGCTATTTCTACATGACAGCATGAATTTCTTGTTGCTGACGTGGAGAAATACATATATATCCATGCCTTAGGGCCAAGATTGTTTAGTAGAACCGAAGAAATACTTTTAATATGTACATAGACAATCTCTCTTTGGATTCACTTACAAGAATAGATATGACTTAAAATACTTTTTTTCAGGAAGAACTTCAAGGACCTGGAGGGATTCGAAGTAGAGGCTACTTTTTCTACAGGGTATGGTTTGCTTGACTTCTTTTTCTTTTCATTTTGTGATCAGTGTTTCAAAACAAAAAGTAGAGAAACCAATGAATTACAGCAAGAATTACTGCGACTGAGGAAACTTGTTTCAGTAAGAGCATCCCACTCTATAGGACTACTCAACATCTGCTGCAGACATTTTCTTGAATTAGAATAAAGGGATAGTAGGAAGTGTTTGTGCACATCTTCATGTTTGTGTATACATGATACCATGCTATGTCTTAATAAGTTATTGGTTATTATGTGTATAATTTTTAGAGAAAGTTCAAGAAAACATGCCATCTTGGACAATCTTTCCAAAGCACTGTTCAATATGGTACGTTTGCATGTGACATAAATACAATGCCATGCTTACATACTGTACCAAAACAGATACTGGGCCTGACCTTCCTCTTTTCCTTGTGTTTTGACCCATAAAATTAGAAACTAGACACAGAAATTCTCACGAGAATGAAACTATTCTGTTCATCTTGGATGCCATAGAGCTTTTTTACTCCAGTTTTGCAAAACTGAGCAAATTAAAGATGGCAAGTCACACATAATAATAATTCTCTTGATTTTGGTTAATCTTTTTTTCTATTTAAATAAGACAGTGGCTAATGAAAAGAAGGCAAGTGTGTGTAGTTACATTTCTCACGTATCAGGATTGGATCTTCACAGTTCTTAGGGCATGCCAAAGTTATGGGTAACATTAACATCAATGTATACATGATGCCAGAGGGAAAAGCAAATTCTTATGAAGCTCAGCAAGAGATTTTTTATCAGCTTTAGAAGACATTGTATCAAGTTCCTTTGTAGTGCAAAATATTCCTGAAATTACCATGGTGAAAAGCGATGAACTCCTTGTCTTTCTTAAAGAACACAGTCTAAAAAGAGAATGCAAAAAGAATGAGGGATAATGGTCTCTTAGAGTGACCTCTTGTGGCTCTCTCCCCCTTATAAAAGCACACAAGATGGGCACAATTAGTTCTTTAGTCACTATACAGTAATTTTTACTGTATAATTCTCCTCCAGAGGTGGCTATACATTAAAAAATCTCTGCTCTCAAGTTTATCTTTAATGATGATCACATGGACAAAAATCAGACATTTACCAGTTCCTATGTATACCAAGTTGGGTGGGGCTTTGCTACTAAAACCAGTCAGTTTTATAGAACGCTTACTGGATATTTGTCTTTCAGCCACGCAATGGAAGGCGATCAGTGGATTTTCGCTAAGGAGGTATTTATTTAAATCTTTTAATCACAATCCTTATTTAAATTAGTTTATTTATATAAAAATAAGAACATATTTATGTTGAGGACTTGTCTCAGAAAGCCTTTAACTGTTTGGTCAACTAGAGATTTAGGCAGACAAGCTTCTCCCAGATGTGCTAAATTCAGGCATCTTCAGGTGAAGTAAATAAAAGCTGTAGGTACTCAGTTCCTAGAACAGAGAACACAGAGTTGTTCATTGGAAAAAAAAAAAATCAGATGTGTAAACATTATGGAAAATAAACAGTATTGATAAGTGTATGTCAGGAAGAATTGATTCAACTACCTAGCAAATACATATTGACATCCTTGGGGTAATCCCCCTGTTCTTTCACAGAAAAAAAGCCTCAAACTGAAACAAAATACATACTTCAGGATTCAATTTCTAATCATTCTACTCTTTGGAGGGATATAAAAACATCTCCTATGCCAGTATTATAATGCTGCAGTATACCGTCTTCTAATATATCTTATATCTCTCACATTTTAAGTATTTAGTGTTATATCCCTTGGGGTAATCCCCCTGTTCTTTCACAGAAAAAAAGCCTCAAACTGAAACAAAATACATACTTCAGGATTCAATTTCTAATCATTCTACTCTTTGGAGGGATATAAAAACATCTCCTATGCCAGTATTATAATGCTGCAGTATACCGTCTTCTAATATATCTTATATCTCTCACATTTTAAGTATTTAGTGTTATATCATATCAACAGCTAAACCTTTTTCTTATTTTTTAGGATTTTAGATTCCTGACCTATAATGCTGAGTACATGGACATGCTGTTTTCCTTACAAAAATAGTCGTAACTAATGTACAATTAAAAATCACTAGAATGTAAATGTTCTTAAATTCAACTGCATTAAGGATTCAAAAGTTTCGTTACTTTGTTGATTATATTAAAAGCATATTACAATTATTTGTTTCCAAGTGTTATGATGTTTACAACTGTGTGTAAATAAGTCACAGTGTATGCATGCAACAGACTGTCTCTGACAACACTGCCATGTGTGTTTATTTTCCCTTATAAATAAAGGCACCCGGTTGTTTTAATGAGAATGTTTGCAATGCAGACTATTGCATTTTTTCAGAATATATTTGAAGTGCTTCATGCAGTCTTTAAAATCTCAGTTTATCTAGGCAGGCCAAGCAAAAGGTGTGGTTTGCTTTTCAAGATGATGTTCTTTACTCCTGTACCCTGTGGACTTGTGGGAATCCGCAATAAGAGATAAGTGCTCTGCAGACAGTCTACAGAACTATATTGATGATGAAGGGGTTGGCAGTCCTCAACAGACCTTAGGGTTAACAGTGTTTCATTTGCAGAAAAAAATTAGAATCTCTATTTCCTTAACTAAAGGAATTTGAGTAAGTTTCATGTTTTGAATAAATATCTTTAATTCAACTAATATATAATGACATCGTTTTTTGGCTATTAAGAACACGGATGCAGTATGGTTCTCATTCAGGAGACGACTTCACTGCGTTATTCCAGAATTAGGATCCATTTGCAAACTCAAGTGGTTTTGATGTAGAATTAAAGAAATTCCACTCAAAAGAATAAGTTAGCCTCACCATCTTCCTAACTTCTCCCTCTGGGTTTGTTTCCACACTCAGGGTTATGTTAAAATATGATGCTGAGGTTGCAGTTATGTTGAAAGTAACTCATCATTCAGTGTAGAAGCGGGTTATTGTTCTTAACATCATACTGGCTTGTCATGGGTTGAACTGACCTCTGCACTACTATTCCTGCTTCTGCGAGCTTGGATGAGCAGCTGAACTTCAGGAGGTAGCTGGGACATCTGATGGCCTCAGAGGTGGAAACCAGCTTAAGAAGCCCTTTTCAACTCTTCTTACCCTCTTGTTTTGCCTCTGCAGTTTGCTGTGCCTCCAGATGAACTGGTGCAATTGTTTGTGAACCGAGGATCCAGTTTCATGTGCACAGAACTATCATTTGACCTTCTGCCACACAACACATTATATGGTATTTTATTAAATTAGGTTATTTGTGTAAGTTTTCCCCACGTGGCCTTACACCGCATGACTGACAGCTTCCACTCAAGCAGGCAGTGGGATGAACAGGCCATGGCCAAAGGGCAAGGCAGGGAAGCAGGCCGGCCTCCTTCAGTCGCACCCAGCACCAAGCCACGGCCTGAAGTGGTCCAGACTGAAAGTGCCCTGTGTTTGACGTTTGTTTGCATTTTGCTTATTTTTGCTTGCTTTCTACTTGTTTTCTTCTGAAATGTTTTTAAATGGATCAGTTTTGTCAGCAGTAACCAACATGGCAAACGGACAGGGCCTGCTGCCGCCTCACGGCCTACCCGCCTCACGCTGCCACCGTTAGAAGCCAGTGGCCGTTGCTGCCAGACTAGTGGCCTCGGTGAAGAGATGCAGTGCCCCGAGGGGAGCCATGCAGGTGGGCAGAGAGTCACCCCTGCCCCGAGTTGTCCTGGTGAGGCAGCAGCTGAGAACAAGGGGAATGAGGGACTTGGGGCAGGGACACCAAGGAAATGGGGGATGCTGCAGGTGGGCAGCGGTCACAGCCCAGAGAGGTGCTCGGTGCTGCATGTGGCCTAAGGCAAAGCCATGCCTGCTGGGCCAGGAGAGAAGAAAGGCAAGGTGGCAAGGAGGGCAGGAGCAAAGCTGGCCACTGGAGAGGGAACTAGATGATCTTTAAGGTCCCTTCCAACCCAAACCATTCTAGGATTCTACGTTTATGGAGAATTTGTTTCTCGTCATTCGCCTAAAGAAAAGAACTGCAAATTAAATTTACCAGAAGTGCTATTTACACTTAGGGATTGTAGTTATCCAGTCTGTGGGTCCCCAAAACTGATATATGCATCACCCCTGGAAAAGCTGGTGGTAACTATCATTACCACTGGCAGCAGTGAGAAGTGTTATGAGAAGTTTCCTCACTTGGGCGTGTGGCCTGCTAGTAGAGTAATCCTGCTTGGGTAGTTCAGCGTCACACTCCGAAACCAACTGAGTTAGATCCCTTTTGACATTGCTTGGCTCCTTTGCACTCACCATCAAATATCTTCTGAATTTTTGATGCACATTTTCATTCATTTCATCCGTGCGTATTACTGCAACCTTGAACTAACCACTTCACACCAACTTTTTAAACATTGATTTAACTGTTTGTTAAATATTTGTTAAAGGTTCTACTTCTAATCCATATTTGAGACCTCCTAATGTGTTGTTGTTCTACCACCATTCCAGCAGCAGTCCAGTTACAATAAACAAATTCTTTTAATCTGATAATTTAAGTAGAAATTCACTCTCATAAATACAATGCAGTTCCTTTATCTTTAACATTTAATTAAAATTACCACAAATGTAGACTTAACTCCCTCTGAAGTCCAGTGTTAGAAACATGGTGTACAAAGTAGCTTGTGTTGACACATTAATATTAATCATTCATTTTAAATGAAAGTATTTTTCTTCTGATTCAAGACATGATTTTTATCATAGAATGGTTTGGGTTGGAAGGGACCTTAAAGACCATCAAGTTCCAACCCCTCTGCCATGGGCAGGGACACCTTGCACTAGACCAGGTTGCTCCAAGCCTCATCCAGCCTGGCCTTGAAGACAGCCAGGGAAAACATGTCTATTTTACATGTCTATTCACAGTGTCAATACCTTATTCTTAGCAGTAACATCAAAATACTGATAGAAAAATCTTGCCTGTTTAAAGCTGTATTTCTTTAAGTGTGTTTAAATAAGCAGTGTATAGTTTGGGGTTTCTGAAGTAGGTTTCTATTTATCTTTTAGACAATTTTTTTAGCTGATATTTTGGAGACTGATTATTTTATCTATGCTTACATTTTGAGTTTTCTTTCTCTCTTATGTTCTTGCTGTTTTCTGCTCAGAAATGAAAAATAACAAATGAAAATTCACAATAGAGTGAATAGTCCATGAAAAGGTGTTAGTAATGGTTTCCTTTTGTTACAACCTTAATATATGCCAAAGTGGAAAAGGGCTGGTTTCAGTTAAAAAAGAGGGCACACAAGACTGATTTGTTGATTTAGTTTTGTTCCATAATGTTAAAATAGGATCCAACAATAAATACATTTTTATTTCAAATATTTTCACTTGGTTATTTTAAAAAGGATTCTGATTTAAACATACAGTGTGTTGGTGACAAACATTACAGCACATAACATGTACAGACAGCTAATTTTCATAATTTCATGAAAGAACCAGTCAATATAAGCAAAATTCACAATCTGAAAAAATATTCAGATTCTTGCATTTCTGTATTTTCCTGGACAGTTAATACCTAAATGATTTATTTTTTCTCCCTTACCCAGAGTTATGCCACAGTTGACTAATATCTGAAATTAGCACATCTTTTTCTTTCACTAGTTCCATGCCTGTGTAATACCTGTCATACATTTAAAACATTTGTAGAACCTTCAGAGAACAAAAGGTGACAATTTTTTTGTTTGTTGTTTGTAGTGAAACCATATGAAAGAATGAATCTTGAAGAACTGCAGGAAGCTGAAGATGACTTTGAGGAGGCTGATAGGAGAGCTATTGGAATGTGCAGGTATAGTACTGTACTTCTGTCCAGACTAACAGTACACGTCACTGTTGTACCTGTACATGCTCCTGAAAAATACATGCAGAATCTCTGGAATAGTCACGTCTGCTGAGCGACTTAACTGCCTTTTTTCACCTTCCACTCCTTTACCAGCAGACAGACAGCACTCACATTACTGACCTACTTCGCCCTGGTCGCCAGAGGCAAAGAGAAGCCGTTTACACCATATTTTACTTTGACATTTTGTTTCAACAAAATTATTCCCCTTTGAAAATACTTAATTTAGTCTGAAATCTGGATATTTAAATGAAAAAGCACAGACAGGGCCACCACTGTTGTACCTGCTCGGTTCAGCTGAAGACAGATTGTGCTACAGTGTGTTTAGAGGCACTGCACATCTGAAGTGTATACTCAGCATTTATCTAAGCCACACAACCAAGGATCACCCCGTTTGCCTGACTGTACCCCTCACTCTGCCACCCTGAAGATACTTTCTGCCAGTCTCTAGCAGTTAGAGCAATGATGATAAATGTTCAAAGAATGAAGTTCTGTATCCCATTTTCTCTCTTCTCTTCTGGATAGCATTTTCCGTGGATTTCAAGGCAGGACGAAACAGACAGTTGGTTGTAGGTAACCTTTTTCTATCATGTTGCAGAAGGTCCCAGCATACATGGCTCCAACTTTGTGAAAGATACCAAGTTTGTGTAAAGGGAGTGTGTGCCACCTATACCAGGATGGCATTGCCACTAAAATAAAAACCTGTATTTCACTGCTGGAATCAAATGGTTTAGTATTTTTAATTGATAATGAAATAATCTAAGTATTATGACCAAAATCATAGAATTATAGAATGGTTTGGGCTGGAAGGGACCTTAAAGACCATCTAGCTCCAACCCCCCTGCCATGGGCAGGGACACCTTCCACTACACCAGGTTGCTCCAAGCCTCATCCAGCCTGGCCTTGAACAATTCCAGGGATGGGGCATCCACAGCTTCTCTGGGCAACCTGTTCCAGTGCCTCACCACCCTCTCCGGGAAGAACTTCTTCCTGATATCCAATCTAAACCTCCCCACTTTCAATTTAAACCCATTCCCCCTTGTCCTGTCACTACAGGCCCTTGTAAAAAGTCCTCTCCCAGCCTCCTTGTAGGCCCTGCCTACAGGGCAATATAGATCTGCCTTTTGAACAGCACTGATTTCTGGTACAATATGCTTTCTCAATATATTACTGAAATAAAAATGCAATGCAAAATTAATTACGAATTACAGTTTCACTGTATCACACACTGCAGTTTCTATGCTGGAATGGTGGTAGTTGATAAACTTTTGTGGTTTTGAAAAATGTTTATCAAACCAGCTGTGGACCCCTAATACAATACTGTTGTGTTTGTTTCTTACCTGCAATTAATTTTAATAGCTTTTCTGTTTCTATCTTCTATTTCCTTTTCTTACTTTATGAAAATATTCATTTGAAGTTTATATTGAAGGAAGGCTCAGGGGAGATCTAATCAATGTCTATAAATTTATGAACGGAGGTTATAAAGCAGACAGATCCAAGGCGTTTCCAGTGCTGCCCAGTGACAGGACCAGAGGCAACGGGCACAAACTGCAACATGGGATGTTCCCTCTGAACATCAGGAAACACTCTTTTGCTGTGAGCATGACTGAGCACTGGCACAGGTTGCCAAGGGAGGCTGTGTAGTCTCCATCCTTGGAAATGTTCAGAAGCCATCTGGACACATTCCTGGGCAGCCTGCTCCAGGCTGACCCTGCTTGCACAGGGGGATTGAATGAGGTGACCTCCAGAGGGGCATTCCAACCTCAGCCATGCTGCGATTGCGTAATTCTGTGATGTGCCACATACTGTAGCACCACCTTATTCAGCTATTGCGTGGGAGTACACCAATCATTTTACTTACAGTACCATGCAGAGTGAACATGTTTTATGAATTCAGGTTCAGAAAACTTTGGCACCTTGTACGGAGACTTAGTAATTTTAGCTATGCTGCACATTTGCATGTATATTTGTGTAGGTATTTTAAAAGTTCTCTGCTGAGTTTTGCAGAGCTTTGTACTGTAACTAAGAAAAATGAGACACACAGTTTAAACAGAATAATAAAGCTAATGTGATCAAAACATTTCCTCTGTCTAGATTCTACCCATTCTTGCTGCCTTTGCATTGTTCAAATGACTACAGTATTTCTAATGCTAACACTGTGTATCTAGTGCTGTATTCTCATAGGAAGATAGTAATTCACATAATTATGTAGAAGTTGTGAACATAAGCCCTCATGCATTGTTGCTGGGGTATAATAACATTGCACATAGATTTAATCTTTTTGGAAAAGCCGCTTCTGTAGTGGCTTTCAGTTAGTAAAATTAATAGCTGCTCTTAGTTCAACAAATCTCAGTAAGGCATTTTCCTTTTCTACCTTGCAAGTATTTTTATAGATGAAGGCTGCCATCTACTGGTCTTGCATTCCAATTTTCATGTCTTATTTGAAAGCTGGTAAATATAAGTACTTTTAGTTCTTCCTCAAACTAATCTCATTTTCAGAATCATAAAAACAAGGAGTACCTGCTTTAATTTTTTTTTGCTTTGTCTCAAATGATAAACCCTTGTGCAACATGTTTGTTACCTGAGTTTCCCAAATCTGATATTGATGAACTAAGAAAATGTATTTTAATGTTATCTTATTACATAGAGACACAGAAGCCTTTCTTGCTCTGAAATTATGTTAGAACACCTCAAAATAAAGCGTTAACTCAAAGCATTTATAAAGTAATTGAGAGAAATACAGTAGATATTATTTTTAAAAGCATTTAAAATGTTCCAAAGATGCTTACTGTTATTACTACTTTTTAATTAGGCATGAATGCTTGCAAGAATGGAAATGTCTTCAGAGGAGGCAAAAGTATGGGGAGCTAAGAGAAATCTGTGGAGAGGAGTATGTAAAGGAAGTTACAAATGTTCCAGAGGATGTTTGGGTTATAATTCATCTTTATCGGTCAAGGTAATTACATTCTTGTTTAAGATGTTGAATACTTCAATACAGAGAATTGAACTGGTAATTTAAAAGCAATACCAAGAAAAATGCAATACCATAGTCTAATAAAATAGCAATTGTTTGGAAACAATGGCAACATAGAGCATGGCACCTCCTTGGTTTGTTAATTCACGGTGTGAGAGTTAATCACTTTTATTCAATGACATAAAAGATTTCTTCTGCTGTGTGTGCTCATCACCGTGTCCTGAACCTCACTGAGACTTCTGAACTTCACTGAGGAAGCGGTGTCTGCTGCCTGTGCCAAGGGATGCTCCTTTCTCAGCAGGAGCGCTCCAACAGGATTATTCTACCTTTATTTCCCCATTGACTCGAAAAAACCAAAAGCCTGATAGGAAGAGTCTTGGTTACAAAAATTGAAGCAATCTAGGGAACTTGTTAGTTTATTAGCTCCCCAATAAATTCTCTAACGGCAGCAGAGTTTGTGACAGGATGCAGCAGAAACACCAAAGGACTCCCATGATTAGGTCAGCATATGTTAGCAACTCTCTTAGATCTATTTCAAAAGCATTGAGAATGAGTACAAAACGTTTAATGCATTTTTTAGATTCAACCAGCTTTCTCTTTTCGTTCTTTTAAAGCCTGTTGGGAGGAAGCTTCCTTGATTCTTCTCAATTATCAGGAATTTAGTGTCATTTCCAAGAGTAATAGAACTATGTCAATCAAATAAAATTGTCCAAATTAAAATTATTTAAATTTACTGATCTGAAGAAAAAAATAGCAGCTTTTCTTGCTTTTCTGGAGAACCAATGCTATTTTTTACCTCTGCTAAAAACGAGCCTGTGGGGAGCTCTTAATTCCTTAGGATTGAATACAAGATGTCCAAAGTCTCTTATGGCTAGTGACAAAACTGCCTCGCCTGTCTTTGCCCACGAGAGGGTGCTGCTGGAACTCGTCTGTAACTTGAACTGCAGTTACAATAAGGATCCTGGCTTCTTAAAGGTCAACAAGCTGGAGATGAAGAAAAAACAAAAACCCCAAACCCACTGTTTTTTGGTGGTTTGGTTTTTTTTTTTTTTTTTGGTTGTTGTTTACATAGTGATTGTATAGCAAGTAATAGCTATGAAATTAATGAACAGGCCTACGGTGGTAATATGACTACACAAATGTTTCCTTCACATCAGATTTTACTCAAAGAATGAGAGAGTAATTAAATGTTAAACTGAAAGGCAGTTCAAATAAATTATAAAGTAAAATGTATACCACAGATTTAAAAACATCTCATTTAGACTCTACAATAAACGGACAAAATGAGCTTTAAAATCTTAGTGGAGAACAAAATTGAAGCACACTGCTTGAAGCAGCTGGTAGCTTTACTATTTTATAGACTTACTATGTATTTTCACTTGGACAGCTCTTTAAATCACAATAACCCTAGAAGAAGCTAAATAAAATTTGTGGTGCAATTCTTCTAACAAATTAAAGTAGTAGCAGACTATAGGAAAACGTATGTTTATCCTTCAAAGGCTTTATTTTTAATAAATTTAGTTATTTTACACATCATTTACGCCAGAAGTGTCGTCATCCTTTTTTATTCCTTTCTAGCATCCCAATGTGTTTACTGGTTAATGAGCATCTCAGCCTGCTAGCCACCAAGTTTCCAGAAGTCAAGTTCCTCAAAGCCATTGTAAACAGCTGCATTCACAATTACCATGACAAATGTTTACCCACAATACTTGTGTATCAAACTGGTGAAATGAAAGGCAGGTTCATTGGAGAAGCTGAATGCGGGGGAATGTATCTTAAAGTGGAAGGTATGAGAAACGTTTCAAATTCATTCATGTTACAGAGAATTTCACGTTCTTTGTAATCGTTAGATCTAAGGATCACTGCTTAAAGGTGGAAAAGGGTTTTGCTTGGTTTTGTAGGAAAAAAGTTTACAAAAAGCGAATAATAAATTTATGTACTTCTGTGGTAAAAATACTGGATAACCACGAATATTTTGCAATGTCAGAGTTAGATATTTTCCTGAGAATAAGCTGAGTTGCTGCAAGGATGGCAACATCCTTGGTTTTTGCTACTGTTTTTTGCTGCTGTTTTTTGCTGCTGTTGAGATGAAGCTTGGTCTTTCATAGAAGTCCTTTTCCTCTTAAGTGAGAATTTACTGCAATTACCAGAATAAATTGCAATCTGTTTTTACAGAGCTCGAACAGAAACTAGCAGAAATTGGAGCAATAGGAGCTGACTTGGAAGAAAACCCCACGAAAAACATTAAGAATACGCTGACGCTGCCAGTGAGAAATAGTTCTGCTCATGAGGATGCCAATATGAAAAGCAGTGATGTGATGAAACCACGTTACTTGAGAAAATTTTAATGCAGGTCATCTGTTCTGACATAAATTAGCTCAAATACAGGTTTTCTCCTCATTTGGAAAGCCTGAAATAATTACAAAAGAACCAAAACAAAAGAGAGCTTTTGTTTCACTTGTAAATTTGTTTTGCTTTGATTCGTGGAAGAAAACTAACGTAGTAAAGACAAGCCACACTTACCTTGATATACATACAGATGGCTGTCATGGACACTGAGAGTCTGGGTTCTCCAGTTCATGCAAACTGCCCAATGGAAGGGGAGGGTATTCACTGGTGGGCTCGAACTCATACCTTCTTCCTCCTTTTATCCATCATGGGTGCAAGATACTCCTGTAATTAAATTAAATTAAAGTAATTCTGACTGTCGTGGAACTCTACTCTGCTAAATACCTTCTCAGTTCCCCCCACTGAAAAGGTGACCCAAAGACAGTGATGTGTGTAGCTATATGGAACCAGGATTTGGCCCCGAATCCACTGGCTAACAGCTCCGCTTCTGTGACAAGTGTTCAAGAATTTTCCCCAGGGTCAAGGATAATCTTCCCACTATTTTAGAATACTGACAGTTGGATCAGTTGTTCCTTCCTAACAAAAGTAAGTATATCCATAACAAAATAGAGTACAACTGTAGATGAGCAAAACTACATGTGTGAATGAAGGGACCACGCTCCTGATTCACCACTTTCATTTATTATGAGTAGTGATTGCCCAGAGATGTTGTGGATGCCCCATCCCTGGAAGTGTTGAAGGCCAGGCTGGATAAGGCTTGGAGCAACCTGGTCTAGTGCAAGGTGTCCCTGCCCATGGCAGGGGGGTTGGAACTGGATGGTCTTTAAGGCCCCTTCCAACCCAAACCATTTTATGATTCTATGAATGCAATTTTCCCAGTGAATTCATGATAAAAAAACCCCATCTCATTGTGCTAATGAAGAATTAGTTATGGACAGTTGACATGACTTACAGCATCAGGATGCAGAAAGAAAAATGAAACAGAAACACTTCATGTAAGGCACAGAGATACCCAAGAAAAACAAGAAAATTAACGTCAGCCTTTCCCCCCCCTCCCCCAAGAAGATAAAGCTGCGCTATTAGCAGATGCTCGCTATTAGCAGATGCTCGTTCGCAGATACTACTTGTACAAACCACAGATCCAAGGAGATAACTAGTAGTGGCATTTCAGAGATAACTAACAGCTTATCTGCCACTTCAAACTGGAAAGCTAACTAGTAGTTTTCAATGTAAATAGGTCATCAGTGACTTCAGATAACGCTTCCAGTCACGTCAGGAGAGGATCAGTGCTGGCTGGTATAAAAGGAGTACAAGCAGTCCTCTTAGCAGCAAACTTCCCTCCTGCTGCTGTGGCTGCCCTGAGGCACACAGATACTCAGCTGTGCCAACGCTAGTGTAGTCACATTGGCAGTTACCGGAGTACATCGCCAGATGTGACAGGAAAGGGCCAAACCTCCCCTTTGGTGACCCTTACTTCGCCCAAGTGACCATCATGATTACAGCCATCAGACATGACACAGCAGCAGCAAAATCCAAGGGAATCTGCAGGTCAAAAGCAGATGTTTCTGGTTCTTAGTTACATTGTTTGTAGGAACAAATGTTAATAAACTTTGGTTTACAAAGATTATGTAGATTGTGACAGGCTTTCAGGTCAGCATATTTGTTAAACAGACTGATTTTAGTCTACTGGAGCGATGTGAAATTTAGCTTCAAGACCAACTTCCAACAGATCCTCTTTGGAATGTGTCAGTGAGGATCAAAAAGGAATGTTCCGAGCAGATGACTGTTCTATGGCTCTGAAGTATATCACGCACAAGATGGCAATGACAGTTGTGTAGGAAACATGGCTACACTTCATGGAAGTGCACTGGAAATTTCTGCCTTTCTGGCCCAATGCAGTCCTATCATTCAATAATTCACAAAAGATTTGCTGCTTGTAATTTGGCAACGTCTGAAAATTATGTTGGCTCTCGTAACCTGTGCGAGCGAAACAAAACTATCACTACGCATCAGAGCAAACTCACATTAACAGTAAGAGCCAGAAAAACAGTATTTCTAGGTGGAGAACGGTTGCATAAAACCACCACACCATTTCCAGGCTTTCTGCCCTGTTCCTTCAGGAGCCTTTAAAATACTTTCAAAAGGAAGAAGCATTAAAAAAACCCCTGTCTTGGTTAGGTGGCATGTCATTTCCACAACTACGTCGCCTGCGCGTGACCTTGTCAAATCCTGGAGCGTAGGATGTGCAAGCCACAGGAAGCAACTTGCTACCACAAGGTTGGAGTGGATGGGCGTTATGCCCCTACCCGTGCAAGGTGTGTATGGAGAGACAGTACACTACCTCTACTTTGTCTTTCTGAAAAAATTACTGCTGGTTACTAAAGATCTTGTGGCAAATTTGATACGTACAGCCTGATGCTATTTTTAGCTGCCTGGCTTCTTGGCCATATTCCAGTTCTGGTAATTATGCATTTTTGTTGATAATAATTCCTGCATTTTCTCCTGGATTTTCCATTCTTGATGTATCCTATTATCTGTACTACATTTCATCATAGGTGCATTATCCTTGCATGAGTAATGAAATGATTAGTTTTGTTTACATGACATTTTCATCAACTGAAAGCTAGAGTATTATGAATCAGTAAGGAACAAAAATAAGTGTTTTTACTAATGCTTTTTAAAATTCTTCCAGTGAAATTGAGCTCGTAGATAGCTCCTCAGCAGCACAACTGCTGAAGAGGTTCCTGTCCCTACAATACCTTTGCTTAGGACTTTGGTCACAAGGTGAATCAAATGGGGAAACTGATCTACCTGAAAAGGGAGCCAGAATGAAAAATCCATAAGATTCTGCAGCCAAGTCAAGTTTCTTAATTCATTCTCGACACAAACACTAATTAAGCTTCTACAGATACAAATTTGTATAATGCTTTTAGATATGTGGCCATTTAGGAGATCAACTGAGAAATAAACATCCTTGCAACTGAGAAAGAAAACTGGGAATATTCACATACTATTACCACTAAGCAATGTTTTTATTTTACAGAGAACAGTTTGCTGCTATGTTCTGCTTTGTTCAAAACAGGTTTACGCTAACATAATCACTGCACATTTAAGTATATTCCAGTCCTGCAGTAGGCAGTATGGCTGGAATTCGTTACAGTTGTACATAAAGCCTGTGCAGTATCAGCTGATCTGTGATTAACTCGGATACCTGTATTCATTAGGTGGACTGTTTCACAACTGCAAAGTCAGTAATACAGGCACATCTTACAGGTTTGAAAAGCTTTACCAGCACACAAACACAAGAATGCTGACTTTTATTACCAGAGAGAGTCCTACAAATTCCAACTACAGCTATGTCTGTACATTTTTCTGAACGGATCTACACCTCCTCACTGTGTAGTCTGCTTAACACTTTGACCCCACGCTGAGCGCTTCAGTCATTCAAAATTCACAACTACTCTTTTACCTTGCAGGCACACATAAAAAAAACCAACCCCAAACTCTAAGGATTACCAAATGAGAATGAACTTAAATTGCTGCTTTACAGTCAGAACGCAGGAAACTTACTGCTGTGAGCTTTTCCTTCCGGTCATCCAGAAATCTCGCAGACCTCAACAGCCAACATTAGTACACTGTAACACAAATCGTACAAACCGTGCGATATTAGTACAGCATTTTAAAAGCTGTAGGATATTATTAGGTGTTGAGGATTTTAAACTCAGCTAGGGTAATTTCTTATTTTTACCGTTAGGTAAGATTACTTCATAACAAGCATTGTACACAGACGAACGGGCTGAGACAGCCAAGTCTGCCACCACCAGGCCGGGTTGCTTGTATTCCAAAATGACCTGTGGTGGCACGTCCGTTCCCAGAGAGTATCCTTGGTGCTGCTTATTCCCTTCTGGAAATGAACGTATGAGCGGGTACCGGGTCACACACGCAGGCACTGCCCGGCACGGCACTTGCTTCTTCAGGAGGAAAGCGCCTCCCTTCAGCGAGGCCCTTCCCGGACCCCGCGCTCGCCGGCAGAACCAGGCCCAGAGCATCCCGCTCCGGGCAGCGGCGGCGGCCCCTCCGACCTCC